GCCAACAATTATTAGTCAAAAGTCAACTGTTGATCGGTTCGGTTTGGATCAGGTCGGGTCAGATTGGGTCGAATCGAGCAGGCGGGTCAGATCGTTTCTAGAAACCCACCTGGCAGTAGAACTTTTCCAAGCGCAACGACGGCGTGTGGGGGCGCGTACGGGGCCTTTGGGGATTAAAACAATCACGAAAAAAATTCCTATATACTTTTTAAGGGGTTTTTAAGGGCCTTTGGGGCCTTTGGGAATTATTTTTCATTAATATTATGTTTTAAATAATTGTATACGTGGGAAAGGTACCACCGATGGCAAGATATGAGGAACAATCGATGGCCAAAATATAAGTAGATGGAAGTAAGGGAAGGAAATATATGACAGTGTACTAATGAAAAAGTACTTCAATCCAATATGAACGACGCTTATATAACACTATTCAAACAAACTTAACAGCTTTGATACAACAGATTAACCAACCTTTAACAAATTCGGGTAATTCTAACTAATCCAATATCAACTAATTACATTTTATTATATTATATCTCTAACAGTATATAATAGTTATTGCCATCGTATGAAATTTGTTAGGTCATGAGCATGAGAATTCAAACTCTCTAAGATATGATGAGATGAATACTACCTTGTTTCAATATTATTAGTAATATTAAATGCATAATTATTTGAGATGACAAAAAAAAATTTGATGCCAAAAAAGGTTTAGGCTAAAAGTGGTTTCCTCAGTCTATGGTTAGGGCATATCTAACATCAAATTAGGATTTACATAAGACTTTATATATTGTCCATCAAGAGTGACGATGGTGGGAATTAAACTTATTCTTACAAGCTTAAATTATTAAATTTCAACCACTTATGTCAACACTCATTTGTTAAGAAGATGACAATATAAACCGTATTATTTTGAGCTGACTTTTTATATATGAATTAAATTGAAACTTGAAAAAGTTTTTTTCTTTTACAAATCGTATCGTTTTCTTGGGTTAAAGTTGATAACTTAGATTTAATTATTTTTCAAGTAATTTTCGCACGTAGAGAAGTAAATACAGTTGCTCGTGTCTTTATCAATTGAGCTTTTAATTATTTTTCGCCTATTTGCTTTCTTTCATATATTTTGAATGATATTTTGGATCTTGTTATTTTACGACTTAATATAAAAATAAGTATCTAAATTATATTCTGAATTTTAATGTAAAAATAAGTGGCTAAATTATATTCTTAATTGATTTTTAGTACTCAAATAATTTTTCATTAAAAATAGATACCTGACGTTTTCTTCATTACACTTTTATATACCTTCCCCATAACGGCCTTTAAATTTAATCCTTAAGTGACACAAATTATTAATATATTTTTCTGAAAATTCTATTTTTTTAAACAATTCAAAAAAAATTAAAAAACCACCCTCAGCTTGGTCCCCTCCCATCCCCCTGTTTTCTCTCCCTCTCGTCTTCCCCCTCTTCCCCTTCCTCCCATCCCCCGCAAACAGTGTGAAAGCAACAACACCACCACCACATCGATGCTTCGACTGCTATTTATAAAAATTAACTCACCTCGATTTGATTATACCAACCAGCCCCTCGAGTGAAAAGTCGATTAGTTGCAATGTTGGCGTTTTTTTAAATATTTTTGAAATGGTGGGAGTCGCCACTAATCTATTTTAAGGAGCATTTGGAACACTAAAAATTAAGTAATTTTAATAAAATATCTTATTTTATCAAAAACACCAAATTTTTATTTACGAAAATCAGAAATCATGTTTGAGAGTCAGTTACGCGTGGGGAATGATTAACACTCCCACAGTGCCCAAAAATTAGTACATAGTTGATTACCATTTAAAAATTGGAAATTTTGAGTTCGATATTTTTTTATTTAAGAATCATTATGTATGCAAATTTTGAAAAAGGGTATTCATTTATCGAGACCAATAACGACCATCATCGGGCATTTATCCAAGAGCTTCGTTATCGATTCCAATAAATGAGAATTCCCTTGATTTTTTTTTTAAAAAAAAGATGCAAGGTTTTAAAAGGATGTCCACTTACTTTGGGAATTATCAGTGGTCTGGTCACCCCTTGAGCATAATGCGAATGATACACTATTAACTCCTTGGTAAATGATCATTGCATTATTTTGAAATCAAGATGCAATCAAACAACCATGTATGAACCTAGGAACACTAAATGATTAATTAAGGCTTCCCCTAACCTAAGGTGTCAAATTATGAAATTTAAAGAATCTATAGGACTAAGCCTAGAAATGGAGACTCTAATATTAATCCTAATTGATTTGAACCAATTATTGAATCAAATAATCAAAATTGACTCTCGGGCATTCAGGCGAAGGCCAGATCGAATTATTTCCTAAACTAAAGGACTAAAGTGAAATTAAGCCTAAAGTTGAGGCTCTAATAATAACCCTAATTAATTATTGAATCAGATAATCAAAATGGACCCTCAGGCATTAAGGTGAGGGTTAAATCAAATTATTCCCTAATTAAAGGACTAAAGTGAAATTAAGCCTAAAATGGAGGCTCTAATATTAGTCCTAACCAATTATTGAATCGAATAGTCGTAATGGACCCTCGGGCATTAAGGCGAGGGTCAGATCGAATTATTTCCTAATTAAAGGACTAAAGTGAAATTAACCCTAAAATGGAGGCTCTAATATTAGTCCTAACCAATTATTGAATCGAATAGTCGTAATGGACCCTCGGGCATTAAGGCGAGGGCCAGATCGAATATTCTCTAAGTTAAGAAAAGTTCAAGGACTAATTTCAAAGAGTTCTAAATTTAGGGACTGAAATATGAGAAATCTAAATCTAAGGACTAAAATGTAAAGATTCTAAATTAAATGTTCAATCTAAATCAAGTAAGCTAAATTCAAAACTAAGTTAAACGAGAAAAATTAAAACTTAAGATAAAAAAGAATAAAGAAAGAAAGAATATCAAACGTATAGTTGGTGCAAATTTTAATATAAATATGTAAAATAACCTATCTGCATTGCAAAATTCATTTATTTTATACATACGCATTATCAAAAAATTTAAAAAAAAATGTGAAACAATATCTAAACTTACACGTAATATATAAACATAATTCAAAAAAAATGTAAATGTATAACCTAAGTTGGATAGGACAAACATATACAAAATGGTTTGAGAAAGAATAAATATAAATATATACATATAAGACAAATGTGAATATATGATATGAACATGCATTCAAATGGCATCGAGTAACTTAAATATGCATAGTAATTTGAACGAAACGGTCAAGGTAATTAGATATTCAACATACCATTTTAACGCATGATCATCTTAAAATTAATGCAAGAACCACGGAATATTAAATTGGCAGCAATAAATGCTAATAAATAAAAACAGGATGCGAATCTAATAATTTACACACAAATCAATCAAAATTTAAAGCTAAATCAAATGAATATTGTACTGTAAAAGTGCAAGAATGTAGAAGGGCACAATCACGAAATGTTGAGAAGAAAATAAACATAAATGCAAAAGGTCTAGGAAGTTAAATAAACAACGCAAAACAGGACTAAATCGAATAAAAATGAAATGAGGAGCAGAATCGAAAATAAAATAAGACATTAGAGACTCCAAATAAAATTTACCAAAACATTCCAAAGACTCAAATAGGACTAAAATAAAATCGCTGAAGAACTACAAGTCAAAATCATTAGAAAATTTAATGAAAACCGGACCAAAATAGAATACGGGTAGAAAATGATGGACGACGGAAATGATTTACCCTTGGCCATTCAAAAACAAGGAGGCCCTTAATGGGCACTTTTCAGAAGATATAAAACTCATTTTAAAGCAAACAGAACCCATTTTCTCATTTGAAAAACTTTGGATCAAAACATTGATCTTAAAATCCTATGAAAAAATTTAGAGTATGGATTTAAATTGCGGTTGTGGTCGTATTTTCGGTCGTGTTATATTTATCACGTTATGAATATAACGAATGTAATTGTGGTAATTACGGGTATCACGGTCGTATATTTTTTCAAAAGAGTTGATTTAAAAAAACTATTTTTTTAAATTAAAATAATAAAAAAATAGCAGAATAACAATTCACTATTACTGTGATAGCCCTCTATCCATTAAATTGTGGTCGTAATCTGCTTATTATTGGTGTGATTCCCTGCACACCGCTATTTTTAACAATAGCGACCGCTATTTCAATCCCCGCCTTAGAGTGCTCTTCATATGTAGGGGTGTTCATTCGGTTAAAACGGTGGCCGACCGAACCGAATTAACCATAACCGAATTAATTAAAAAAAAATTTTCTTTAACCGTTAACCGAACCGAATTTTTTTTTCGAACATATTAACCGAACCGAATAAATTTTGGTTAATTTCGAATTAACCGATTTTTTTTAAAAATTTTCTAATTTATATAAAATTAAATATTTTTTAATTCAAAACAAGTTTATAATTAATTTAAATAATAAAAAATTATAAAATAAAAATTTTAGATAAATTTTTAAATTAATTAATATTGATTTAAATTTAAAAGTTATTGGATCTTAAATTATTAATTGTGTTTTAAATGGTTTGAGCTTAGCCCATATGTTATATATAATATATTTAATATTTTTTAATTAGAAAAAAATTTACAATTAATTTAAATAATATATAATTATAAAATAAAAAATTTATATAATTTTTTAATTAATTAATATTAATTTAAGTTTAAAAGTTATTGGATCTTAAATTATTAATTGGGTTTTTAATGATTTGAGTTGAGCACCTATGTTATATATAATATATTTAATATTTAAAATATAATTTCGGTTAATTCGGTTAATTAACCGAATTCGAACCGAATTAACCGTTAACTAAATTTTAAAAAATTTCTTAACTGTTAACCGATCGAACTAATTCGGTAACCGAACCAAATTAACCGAACTAATTCGATTCGGTTGTTAATCGAATTAATTCAGTTATTTGAACACCCCTATTCATATGTTCATCGTTTTCTTCGCGAGCCACCATAGACAGCTGCGTCGGCCACTACTTTTGGTCATGAAAATTAAGAAATATCATTTTTTACGATCTTCTCCGACCCTTCTATCTCGATCTTAGTTCGATTTCAAGAAAATCCTTGGAGAATGAAGTAGATCTAAGGTTTTCCTTTCGAAATACCCATTCTTCAGTTATCGAGATTTCTCTGTCGATTTGCTTTCTCTTTATCTTTTATTTTAAGAAAAACCCTTAAATGGGAACTCTAACCCTCGAGGAGGCTTTAGATCTAAAGAGATCCACTATAAAGCCTCCTCCTTTCCTCAGGTTCTAAAGGAAAACGAGACTCGGGCGATTATCCGACGACGAGATGCTCGCACAACCCAAGTAAATGACTTCTTTCTTTCCTTTTACTCTATTTGGTTTCTTCGAAAATACACATGCACACACAAAGAAATCTAAAAATGCAACCCAATTCAAAAAAAAAAAACTTTAAAAATGCTTTATTTTCTCTTAGAATGGTGGAAAAAAAAAACATGTCTTACAATTCTTTGTTTGTGGGTTTATATACTCAATTACAAAAGGGTTACAAATGTAAAATAACAAACAAAAAAATGGCTCCGAATCTCCTTTACCCTTTTTTTTTTGCTTTCTCGTTGATGGGTCTCCCCTGCTACGATTTTGGCATAGGGAACATGGCAGAGGCATACACGGTTCTGCAATTCGGTTATCATCATTAGTGAGAGAGGAGGGCGACCGATTTGCTGTGGGGGCCAAATCACGAGCGCGTCACTAATGGAGATGATGCAGACGACGCGTGGGAAGTTTTGGAGATCGCGCGTGCATCTCACACGCTACTTATCGACGGTCGATATGCTAGAGGGCATACAGACCGTTGGATCATGATTTGAATCCAAAGATTAAGCTTCGACGAAGGCGGTGCCTGAGCTTTTTAAGGTAAAAAACCCTAATCTTTTCTATTTTTTTGGATCGTTGGACTCCTATTGATCTTACGGTGGAGATTCGACTGAGCGATTGTCCCATCTTGAATTATAAAAATCTTAGTTGGCTCTTTTCATCTAGACCGTTGGATTGGGTCAGATCCAATGGTTTTGGATGATACGACGCTAGATGAGGTTTCAAAACCCTAGCTGTTGTTGAATTCCTTTAGGCTTCTGGCACGTGGGTTTCCTTTAGTTGTTGTTTGGGTCACGTGGACCGCTTCACTTGGGCTTTGAGATTAAAGTAAATCGGGCTGCTAGATTTGGTCTTTACTTGTATTGGGTTAAATGCATATTTTGGTGCTTGTTGGGTTTTATAATGTATATTGGTCTTTGTAACCTGAAAATAAAACACTAAATAATATTAATTAATTTTTTGTTTTTGTTTTATTTAATAATAATTACCATATATGTATGTATTTAATATTTACAATAAATATGTATATAATCTCACTGAAGCTCATAAACCTATGTACATATACCTAGTATACCTTAATTATAGTTAATAACCAAACACCAATGTATTAAATAATAATAAAATTAACCATTATACATATAAACATTATAAACTTATATTAAAACAAAATCTACATATAATAAGTATGATTCACAAAAATTTAAAAAATCAATATTATATAATATTAAAATTGAAGTAAAATTTGAAATAGAGATCGAACAAAAATGAGCATCTACTTTCAATTCGCTTCAAAGTGGAGCTTCTCGCAAGCAAAACATAAGATAATGAATGGGTTTGGATAATAGATGGGTTTAATTATTTTCATGCAAATTAGTGGTCAACATTTGATTAAGTCGAGTCGAGTCAAAAAATTTTGAGTTATTCGAGTTATCGAGTCATATTTTACAATTTGGATTTGATTTGAATTTTTTTTGAGTTGAGTCGAGTCGAGTCGATTTTTCGAGTTGTTGTTTAAATTTAATTGTAAATATTTATAATATTATAATATTATTTGACTCCTATTTAAGTGACTTTCTATAACCATATATACAATACAAATATATTTCTTCATATTTTTATATGTGATAAACATATATAAAATAAAGTTTAAGGACTTGAGTTAAACTTGAAAATAAATCACTAGCTACTAAAAATTTAAAGTTGCTCGAGTTATTTGAGCTGCATTTTACAACTCGATTTGAATTTGAAATTTTTTCGAGTCGAGTATATGAAATTACAATTCGAACTCAATTCGAGTCGAGTAGAGTCAAAAAATTCAATTTTTCGAATCGAGTCGAGTTTTACTCACCCCTACTCCGAATAGTTGCTTATTATAAAATGAATATTATGGAAGATAAGCAATTAAACAAATAATGAGAAGCATAAACGAGGAAAACGGTGATCAATATTGTTGTATGTATGAATTGAGGGGTGGAGTAGTTTAGCTTTCGGCGGATGATACCAACGGTGACGACGGAAGGAATAGAAAGCAGGGGGCTGGGAGTAGATGACGCACCGAGGGGATTTGTTTAATTAAATTTTTTCCTTTCAATTTCATCATCAACCGTGGTATGTCATCTTCGACCACTGCCTCTTCAGTTCTTTCCCACTCACCTCCAAAACATCAAAACCCAAAGCCCCAACCTTTTAAAGCAATTGATGATCGACTTTTATCTGAACTAAACCCACGCATCATCTTCTTCCATGGGGTTTTTAATCTGTTTTGCAAAATAACCAGATTCCATGGACTTGGATGGAAAAGAAAAGCTATAAGCAGATTCCATAGATTTGAACAGAAAGAGTTACATGTAGTTTGTTAGAAAAATAATAGTTTAATTGAATAAAATTGATGTTGTCATGAATAGATTTATTATAATAAGTCATATCACTTGATGAATATAGTTATATTTTAGTTTAAAGTTGCATTCATTCAGTTATACCTATTAGCTTTTCAACAAATTCTTTACATGAAATGTTTTAACAATTCATCAAAAGATCCTAACCTTTTTATTCATATTCCCTCACCTATAAATAAATTAGTTAAGGCACAATCTTAGACACAACTTTGAGACAAAACTTTTAGACACAATTCACAAAGTTGAATTAGGAAATCACTTAGAAAATTCCTTTCAAATTCGTTCTTTCCGGTGATAGAGAAAGGCAAGATTGTGTTCGACTGATCACTACTGTTGTGCTTACTGTTGTGATCGTTTGTTGTTGTATCCTGGGAGACTGACATCCAACGTTACTCAAAGCACCTAGGAGAGGACGAATTTGTCTTAAGGAAACTGTTCATAAAGGCCTCAACAAAATTCTTCTTCGATTTATATTACTCTACTCATCCGATTCATTGTCTAAATATGAGTAAATCAATTTATTGCCTCTACTTTAAGTTTTATTTATTTTTCTTTGTTTGATTATATATTAATTTTTATTATATTATCTCGGATTAACATTTTTCTAACAATCTTAAGACAGATTCGTTCTTATTTATTTCGAGATGTACAAATGAATTATTTAATTTGAGTTTAAGCCTAGCAGATTGTCAATATCAACGGATTTTGTTTAAAATCCAAGACGAAACAAACGAAGGGTTGCATGTTCCATTAACGCAATTCGACCCTGATGACCGTTGTGGTTGGAATATGGTGATGGCTCTACGTTTGGACAAAGTTTCTCTAATTTTCAATTGTCTATCAAGGATGCAAATGGTGTCCATCCAAAGAATAGTACAAATAGTGGGAATAAGTTGTATTGTATCCAATAAACACAACTAACAAATATATCAAGCAAGAGGCATGACCCAACTGGCATCATCAAGACATGATTTCGATCAAAATTCAAGACTTGTAATGGTTGGGTGGCCTTTAAATTGGTACGCATGAACTTCTTCTTTCTTTATTGATTAATATTTACCATCACTGCCTTAAAACTTTTAACGCGAGAAACTAAGATTGAGACTTTTTGGAAATACATTCCCACTAACTTTTGTGCAGTAACTTTTAATTTGATTTGCCTATAAGCCATGAACTGCACGTTTATTTTGATTTGTCTATATCTAGTAGAGAACTTGAGAATGAAAAGGAGGCAGAAGAACAAAGGACAAAAAATTCTAATCTGCAATTCTAGAAATTGGATAAGGATTACGTTGTTTCAAGCGTGAAAAGGTACGACTTGCGCACCAAGCCATATTGGATTATAATGTTCTTTGTTGGATTAAATTTCTTCAATTCAAGTTTAGCACTAGTCTTTTCCTTTGTGGTTGTGTTTTGCTTTAACCCGAAGGTTGATTGTTAAATTCTAGTCGGCAATATTGGAATTTCGACAAAGAAATGGAAAAGGTACCATTCAATATTTCTTTTAAATATTTATACATTGAGATTATACTATTGTTTCGGATTTTATTAAATTCCCATCATTCAACAAAAGCTAGTTCTGTTTCAATAATTAATTTATTAAATTCTCATCATTCAATAGAAATTGATTCTGTTTCGGGTTTTAATCTCGTTGTCCAACGGAAGTTGATTTGTTTCGGATTTTAGTTTTACTAAATCTTGACCTTTAATGGATTCCAAAAAATATTGTTGATTGCGAATTTCTATTTCGGGATTTTAATTTTACAAAATTCTCGTCGTTTAATAGAAATTACTCAATTGTTGGATTTTAGTTCTGACTAAAATTTGTTGTGATAAATAAGGTACCGAGCGAAATTATGATATGTATGTGAACAAAAATTGGGCTTATAATTATGTTTCAGGATTTTAATTATGTAGTTCAACATAATTTATTTGATTTACTGTTGATAACATAAATCGTTCGGAGGTAACAACATTGTTACAAATTTTGTTTTAGAATTTTAATTTCTAATTAAATTTTGTTGTTCAAAAGAAACAAATGGTAAAATAAATTAGATTAACTTTCAATTTATTGATGGAATATTTACAAATTTTGGTTACATGTTTTAAACGAAACAATGGTAACCCCACTGATTCACCTAACTCGTGATTTGAAATGTTGATTCCTATTCAGACTTTGAATAAATTCAACAATATCAGTGGTTGTGAGCCACAACGAGAAGTATGTGAAATTCATTGATAGAATTTCAAGACATAGCAACATAAAATGTATATTTAATCATGTTCAATATGGTCAAATATAGGATGATCATCCTATTCATAGAGAGGATGAGATAGACGTTGTTGTCATTAAAGCTTGAAACCATTCTAAGTTTCTATGTCGAAATTACATCTTGAATGGATTGTCAGATACACCATATTATGAATGACATTTGGCCATGTTTTGAGTTGTCACATAACATGTGGAGGAAGCTATTTTATTAAAAAAATTACCTTTAAATAAGGTTACTTACAAGAAAATAGGTGAGACACCATATAAGTTATGGAAATGTAGAAAACTTTCCTACAACTACATCAAAGTGTGGGGGTGCCTTGTATAAGTATAATGGTAAGTCGAGACACATACATCATCGACATAATATCATTAAACAATTGATCTCAACTAGAGTTATCTATATTGATTTTGTAAGATCAAAAGATAACATTATGGATCCGCTAAAGAATGAGTTGAATCGAGATCAAGTTGATAAACAACAAAAGGAATGTGACTAAAGCCCATTAATATTTAAGGCGCTATGTGAAGGAAAACCCAACCTAGTTGACTGGAGATCCCAAGATATAGGTTTAATGGGACAACCTACTTGCAAAGACCTTATCTCAAGTTCATTCCTATGATGAAAACAATGACTAAAATTTGGAAATGGTTAAGCAATGCTTTTAATGACCACTATGTTTTTTGGTGAGACAAACAACATAAGTCACCTATGTGAGAGTGAAGTGGAGCCGCTTCAAAGAGACTATTGGGGCATAGTTATCTAAACTCTTACATAACTGGGAAATGTCCACGGCTATATGGACATAACCATGAGAACCCAAAATCTTGTCAGTGAGATATTTGTGTGAGGTATGTCATCGCTTACACCAATGGTAGGATAGTTCAAGGACATTACGTCTACTGGACAGCCATTAAGGTAAACATATTTTCATAAAGGAAGGTTCAAAGGGGGACGCTTACCTATCCTATTCAAATATCAAACGTAAAATCTATCACCATATCGAGTTCGTGTTTGAAATCATCAATTTCATTCATGTGGGGGATTGTTGGAAAAATAATAGTTTAATTGAATAAAATTGATGCTATTTATAATAAGTCATGTCACTTGGTGAATACACTTATTATAATAAGTCATGTCAATTGGTGAATGAACTTATTTGTTAGTTTAAAGTTACATCCATTCAATTATACCTGTTAGATTTTCAACAAATTCTTTTCATGAACTGTTTTAACTATTCGTCAAAAGATCCTAACCTTTTGATTCATATCCCCTCACCTATAAATAGGTTAGTTG